GAGGGCAGGGGGAAGGGATTCGCCCGGGCAGGAGAAGCATTCTCTGAGTTTGTGTCCACCCTCTCCCCAGCCAAGTGACCCTCATACATCAAATTACATAGCAGTTTCCAAGACAGAACCTATTATCGCTAAGTTGGAAGGAAAGTTCAAGCCGTGGTCATGGAGATGAACGCTGGTTTTTCAGGTTTCTGGTGTGTTTTTTCCCCCCAATCCATCATGTTTTAACAGGTAGGATCTGGCTGATTCCACGAAAAGTTAGTGCCTTGAAAATAACTGCTGAAAAAAACAAACCAGTGGTCGCCCCTGCTGGCCTCGCTGAAGGGGCTTTGTGCGGCGCCGGGTGCAGTTGGGGCTCCAGAGCCATTTGCGAGTGGGACGCAGGCTCAGGGGCTCCGTGGGGCGGCCCAAACCGCGCTCCAGGACCGAGACGGAGCCGCTGCGGGCKGCGGGAGGGGCTCGCCCAGGCAGAAACCGCTGCTGCCAGGCTGCGTGACCGGGGCGGCTCGGGGTGGCGTGCGGGCATGGAGGGGAGAAGGTGCCGGCTTTGTTTATTTTCCTATCGAGCATTTCATAGACAAGCTAAAATCCATCACTTGGGGTCGGGGTGTTTAAATATCCCTGCCTTGGAAACCTTTCCACCTTGCTCCKGCCCCCTGCCACACGTAGGCAGGAACCATCTCATATGTTTCTTTGAAGTTGTATGAAGAGCCGTAACCAGGAGAAAAAGGCTAAAAATAAAACGACAGTGGTTGAAGGAAAGGGTTTGGTCTCGGAGTTGGACAAAAATAACAGCCCAGCCCCTTTGCGTTACCAATTCCTCGATCACTCTTCTCTCAGAAACCGGTATTAAAACAGCCTTTTGGTGATAAATGATCAACCCTCTTGCTCTACTTCTTAAGAAAAAAGAAATAATAATAAAAAAACCCCTAGAAAACCCCTATCCTGGTGCAGCAAAGCACATATTTGTAGCTGCCAGTAAATCCAGGCAGCTTTTATATCAAAATGCTCCACGCCTGAGGCCAAGTCATGCTGCTAAATATTGCTGACCACTTTTTCTTTTATGGCTTTCATGTCACTTAGCTATTGAAAGTAAGATGGATTTGTACCATTTCTTCACCCTGCTCTGCTCTCCCCACACCCCAGGTCTGCCCGGAGAGGCCATTGGAGGAAGAGCGCCACGTGACAGAGGGGTGCCAATGTTATTCTCCAAGGGTGTCAAGACCCTGTCAGTTTGCGAAATAAATATTGGGAAACAACGAAATGCAAAAAGCGACCTACTACGACAGCTCTGCAATCTATGGTGCCTACCCCTACCAAGGAGCAAATGGTTTCACTTATAATGCGAGTCAGCAGCAATATCCTCCATCTTCATCACTTGTGGAAACTGAGTACCACCGCCCTGCGTGCTCCCTCCAGTCCCCTGGCAGCTCTGTGTCCCACCACAAGGCCAATGACATCAGTGAGAGTTGCATGAGGACCCTCCCCAGCCAGACTCTCCAGCCCCCCAGCCTCGCTGACCCACAGGCTCCACCGCAGCCGCCTCCAGCCCAGCAGGCACAGCCTCCACCTCCGTCCTCCACCTCACCATCTCAAAATGCCAGCAGCAACCCTGCCCCGGCCAACCCCACCAAGAGCCCAGCTCTTAACTCACCCACCGTGTCCAAACAGATATTCCCGTGGATGAAAGAGTCTCGGCAAAACACAAAGCAGAAAAACAGCAGTTCCAGTTCAGGTATGAAACATGCTCCCTCTCTCCCTGGGTATTCCTGGGCTTGCTGTGCATCCAGTGGGGAGGAGGGCTGTCTTACCCACCTTCACTTCAGGGAGGGGAGGGTGGGGGCTTTTTTACTCTCTGAGTTGACTACCTTAAAYTTTTGGAGAGGACTTGCTGTCACTCAGCTTATTCACTGAGAGGAGCTCAGTGAAAAAAACACCCCATGCAAAACTTTCCCAGCCTTGTGGAATGGGTCTGAATTGACTTTGCTTCCTAGTGGCAGAACCATTTGTGCCCTCCAGCATCTATCACATTTCCTAGGTAATCCCTGCTTCAGTAAATCATGTCAGTGTGGAGCAGCCCAGGCCTTAAGCCAGAGGCTTGTCCCGAGTACTTTGTTGGCATGGTGCTGTTAGATTAATAAGACAGTGACCTATCTCTGCTGAAGTGTAACAGGAATAAAATAGCTCATAATCATGTGCAGGCAGGATCAATGCCCTGCATGCAGTCAGAACCTCTTCCTATTTTAATAAGCTGATTGGCAAAGTTACAAGCCTGGTAAACAAAAATCATTCTGGAGTGCTATAAACTTCAGCCCATAAAACATTATTTGAGGGTTGGAAGTGTATATCAATGCTTTTATTACCCAAGAAAACCTAAACTGATAACACTAGTGTTAGCTCCAAAGTCCAGAAGCTGGGCTTATTCTGACTTCTTCCTCTTTTTCACTTAAATGAGGCTTAGAAATAGAGTTCAAAACTTTGGCAAATGTGTTGCCAGTCTGCTTTTTAAAGTCGTGGTAACACTGCYGTTTACAGCTTTCCATATCATATATTTATTTTATTAAAAAGCAGCAACATTTAAATATATTTATACGCCTATATGCAAGCCGAGCTACTGTATGTCCTTCTTTGTATAAATTATACTTCTCAATCACTGCCCTGTGTTCATGCTACATACTAGACTATGGRAAATACTATACTAACAATTCTATATTTATATGTTAAAATTTTGTATTGTAGATATCTAACTTTCGGGCATTTGTAGCTGATGTATACATATACATATATGGGTTTTCAGAAAAGAGGGCTTCAGGTCTTTACAGCAATGGAGAACAGCCAGTTCTTGAAGACCCTGACCCCACTATGTTAGCAGAGTCACAGGCTCACCTTTAGGGTTTCTAAACCTCGCTGTGTTTCCTTGAACCTTCCTTGCTCCTCTATGCCAAGCTCAAGATGTGTTGCATGCTGTAATTCTTAAAGGGGGCAAGTGTGGTCATACAGGGACACTAATGAGGTGAAAGAAGTCATTTGAGGCTCATAGCTTGGTGGGACTGAGCTYATGCCATGGGGGAGTCTTGTTGCATGCACAGGCATCCATCTTGCCTTTGGGAGTTGAGCCCTCCAGGTGCTGGTGTTGTTGGCCATTTTCTCATGTTGCCATGTGTAGGTTCGCCATGCTGATTGTGTTCTTTGTGTGATTTACATAGGTGAGAGTTGTGCTGGTGATAAAAGCCCACCAGGGCAGGCCTCCTCTAAGCGAGCCCGTACAGCTTACACAAGTGCCCAGCTGGTAGAACTGGAAAAGGAGTTCCACTTCAATAGGTACCTTTGCAGGCCACGAAGGGTAGAAATGGCCAATTTGCTCAATCTCACAGAAAGACAGATCAAAATCTGGTTTCAAAACCGCAGAATGAAATACAAAAAGGATCAAAAGGGCAAGGGTATGATGACCTCTTCAGGAGGACAGTCCCCAAGCAGAAGCCCTGTCCCTCCAGCTGCTGGGGGATATCTAAACTCTATGCATTCTTTAGTAAACAGTGTCCCCTACGAGCCCCAGTCGCCTCCACCATTTAACAAGCCTCATCAAAACACCTATGGCATCCCTGCATCGTATACTGCTCCTCTTAATAATTGCCCACCTCCTCAAAAGAGATACACGGGGACAGCAGCTGTGACACCTGAATATGATACTCATCCTCTTCAAGGCAACGGTTATGGGAATCCACATATACAGGGAAGCCCCGTCTATGTAGGGGGCAACTACGTGGAGACCATGACCAATTCTGGGCCTTCCATCTTTGGTCTAACTCATCTCCCTCATCCTCCCTCTGCCAACATGGACTACAGCGGGGCTGGGCCAATGGCCAACAATCACCACCATGGACCTTGTGATCCACATCCAACATACACAGACCTTACCACTCACCATCCTTCTCAGGGAAGAATTCAGGAAGCGCCCAAACTCACTCATCTGTAAGAGACAGGAGTCACTAAGAGGAGCACCAAGCCCCCAAGTTTTGGAAAGTACTCATCCCTTCCCTTCTCTCTCCTCCCCCCAACATGTGCCCTCCCCTTCCCTTCTCGTTTCTTTTGTTCGTTTTGGTTTGTTTCCTTTCCTTTGTAAAAGCGTTTTCTAGTTTATGTGACGTAGCAATATTCGTTGCTTGAATTGCTCTATAGTTTCACTAGTGGATATTTATCTTCTTGAACTGTAGCCTTGTGTCTCACTTTGGGAGTATGCAGAGGCTTTATACTTTACCTTCTACACTTTTATCAAAACAGGGTATATGAACAAATTTTCTATAAAAGGAATTCTTAAATGTGAATTTGTTCGTACATGATTGATCCCACGGGGAAGCAATTTTTTTTATTGCACTTCTTTTAAATAGCAAGAAAGACATCAAAAGCGCTTGGACAGGGACTCCCTGGACAATTATTGATACGTGTAAGTCTTTCAATGTGTGTATGCTGGTGAACATTCAGATTTATTTATATTTTTTTTTCGCAAACATTGAATAATCTAAGTGTTTAAAATTTTATTTATCCCCATTTGTTCATATTTATATATATATAAAAAATCTGTACCCTGAATATTCAGGAGGCCATATATTAGATGGCATATCGGCACGCGTTAGAAATATCATTTGAAAGGAAACTATTAACTCCTTTTATTAAAAATAGTGATAATAATGATGATGACGATGCAATAAAATCTGGGAAAAAAAGACCACGGTTTGAATACTTTATGCTTGTAACAACCAGCTAGGCAAAAAGCGTGTGAAGCTGAAAAGGCTAGATTTGTTTTGAAAGTTATACATTCCTTGCTGCTCACGTTCTGGAAAAAAAAAATAAAGTTTTTATTCTGAATAATAAAGAGTTAAGAACATGTTCTTCGCATCTCAGGGGAATGGAGAGCCCTTCATGACGTGGGGAGCTAGGAAACTCGTCTGTAAACTTACACGAGGATCTGCTCGCCCACCCGAAGGGCCCCGCGACGCCTTTTCAGCATTTCATAGGCAGGCAGAGAGATTTTTCTTTTCCTCTATCTCTCTATGTTTTTTTTTTTTCCCCCCTTTCTTCCAGCAGGGTTTCAGGGCCCTCGGCGGCCGCTTCCTCCCGCACCCGCTGCGCGGTGCCCGGCGGGCGCGGATCGCCCCCTCCCCGCGGGGTCCGGTGGGGGATCGGCCGCGGAGCAGCGCCGGGAGRACAGCCGGGGTGTGGGTGTGGGCGTACAAGCGTGTGTGTGTATGTGTGTGTGTGAAGCACACGGGAGCGGCGCTCGGGATAAAGCCCCGCGTGGGTGCGGGMGCGGAGGGGCCTCTTGGTCCGCGGTCAGGCCCGCTGAGCCGGGCGGAGGGGGTGCGGAGCCCCGGCAGCGCTGGGAGAAGGGTGGTGGAGCAGGCTCTGGCTCTGGGCGAACCGCGAATGCGCGCACTGCTTCTCCTTCCACCCGCCGTTTTCCCCCTTTCCCTTAAGAAGTGGATTTTACCTTTTTTTYCCCTATTTTTTYCCCGAATTAATATTTTTTATATCTTTTATTGGGGCTTGTTTCATTCTTGTTGAGCCGCCTTTCCTCCCACCGCAGCCTGAAGGTGTGGGGGAGGGGAGCCTTGTGTTCCGTTTCTTCGCGCGGGGGGGTGTGGATGTGTGTGCGGGTGTGCGTTTGTGTCCGAGGGGGGGTCACGGTGCTGTAGAAGGGCGACTGTCCTGGCCCCAAACAGGGACCCGTATGGGTCTCCGGTCCGAATCGRCTCCAAGTAGAATGGAGAAACCCGCAAGCTCGTGCTTAAATCCGATTTTTTTTCCTTTCAGGCGAAATGTCCGTAATTTTTAGATTGAAACTTGAAAGATAAATCAAAACGGACCTTAATAGACTAGGTAAAATATACCCCTGCACGTTTATAAAGACATATTCCTATGCTGTGTAGATAATAACGCACGCTGTTCACCATCTGTATCTTTTAGAGCGCAGAAAAAAAATGTCGCCATTTTGGTCTCATGCTGAAATATTATTAATCTTTGGGCTTTACCTTGTTCCCAGAACCACCCTTGCCTGATGCTGAAACATTGTCATGCATCCGTGAATCTATCTAGAGCTTTTCTACATAAATAGATAAAGCATGCCCAGTCAAAGAAAAGGATAGCAAATAGATTTATATCGTGCTGTTTATTGTGTATATATAGACATGTAACCGTGGAAGGAAAGGCTATGTAGGCTGATATTTTTCACTGAAACTTGATTATTACCCAATACAGACCAACGACTGATTATTACTTTCGTAGGTGAAGGAAGTATTTTTGCAACATTGTAAGACAATGCTCGTTTCAAAGGAGCGCCCGTATAAAATTGAAGCCGCCCCCCCCCCCACCTCTCGAATCAGCTAGGTTAGATACAACAAAAGGTAACGGTACAGTCACGGTACTTACTGCGTGGTTCCTTTAGTACCACGAATTACATTTAGGAAAATGTTCAAATAGAAGGAAGTTGGCGTTTCACTCCCCTCCCACCCCGAAGAAAGRAAAATACAGGCGATTCTGTCCGCTTCTTTCCATAAACCGTATTCAATCCTTTCTTCAGAGCCTGTAGGTTGCAAATAAGAATTTGTAATTTTGCGTTTAAGATTCGTCCGATTAAAAGATCCCCCTGGAGGCAGCAGTAATTGATTTYCCCAAGAATTTCGAGTCCTCTCTGCAAAGGTTTTGTTCCAGGTGGTTTTTGTATTAGACTGACCACAAGAAACAAATGTGCAGAATAGAGACACCCACACAGGTTTTACTCACAAAGCCTGGTTAAAGTCCAAACCACTCTCTTTATTATTTGTCATCCTGCTGTTAATCCCAATATTTTCCAGAAGGGGGGGGGGGGAAAAATAAGAGAAAAGAAAAAGAAAACCCCGACCCCAACGTAGGCACCAAAAAGCAAAATAAAACTGGACTTTTCCCACAAGCAGCCCAGTCCTCTGCCAGCATATTTTAAAAGCAGCTTTTTTCCTTGTTTACTTGCGTTTCTTGCTCTGCCTCTTTTCACGGCCACATTTGATCTCGGAAAGAGCAAGAAGCTTTAAATGTGTTCTTAAGGGCCAGTAGCTGTCAAACCTTTTGGCGGCCAAGATTGATCGCGCACAGACACCACCAGAGCTTTGTTTGGACTAAAAGCAAGAAAATTAAACCCCTTGCATTTTCCAACAGCATCGATATTTGTAAGGCATCCCTTTTGAGGGATTAAATGACAAGTCTCGTTCTATATTTTATTTAAACAAGCAACCACCRAAAAGCCCATTTAAAGCCTCCCGGCCCCTCCCCTCCCCCTCTCTCCAATGCCTTCGCAGATATGCTACATCTTGTGGGTCCATTAACTTAAAACCGATTTTTTAAATGCACTTCGTGCAGACTGGACTCAGACTGATCCACTGAGTGCTTGGGGTCTCGTTTTCTATTTTTTTCCCCCGTCCTTTTTTTTTTTTTTTATTTTTTTTTTTAATATAATTACGAAGACGGTTGCCGACCCCTGTTTGGCAACTCCGAAAATAAAGAGAGACTGCACCTCATCGCGCTGGCGATGGTTCCTGGCTCCTGGAGGACGCGGAGAGCGGCTYGGAAGCGCCTTCCCCCCGGCCCCCGGCGCACCCCACCCCGCCGTGCACCCCGGGCTCCGCGGGCAASCGAGCCCCGTCCGGGCTGTCCAGGGCGGCTGTGACCCTAGGATTCATCGGGTTGGTGATTGTGGCCATCATTGTCATCGCTCTCCCTGTCGCCTCAGCCTGGCTGGAAAATWGTGCCAAAACCATCCAAATTCGGGATTTGCCTCGACCTGGCAGGGSTGACTGGAGGCGGCGGCGGCAAGAGCCAAGCATCGGAGGCGAGTGCTGTCTCTCATATCATAAACCCGCAGTATTTTCGCTCTGTCTGTCTGGCCCCTTGAAAACAAACCCGCTACCAGCCCATATATTTCCTGGTAATCGAAAATACTCACCAGACCCAGCCTACTACGGTTATTAAGCAAATTATGCCAGCAGACGGGAGTATCGTTTGCAATCTAAGGCACGGGATATATACTTTTTTTTTAAGAGGCAACAGCCAGACGCGTTTGCAGCCTTGCGATTTGGCTCGCCCAGAGAGGTTCTCCTAGGGTTATTTTTTACGGTCCAATCCCGGGAAGCCAACTGGAGAGGGAAGTCATGAAGCGCCAGGGCTGCTGCCTATGTGACTCTTCCCCTCGAAGCAAGGTTGCTGAGGAAGATCCTGATAAACAATGGCTCAGCACCGGCGACCAATTGTTCTCCGTACTGTACACCCGATAACCACCGAAAAAAAAAAAAAAAAAAAAAAAAAAAGGGAAAAAGGAAAAAAAAAAAGAAAGAAAAAAATCAAACAAGAATTCAAAGCCAAACAAACAAACAAACAAACAAATAAAACATACAAAGAAGCCCATTGAGGCTGAGTCGGGAAGGAGAAACTAGTTTTGGAGGAAGTGCTATTCCTAGGAAAAAATCAAGACCCTCTGCTTCAGACTCCTGCCTGGGTGCAACTTCTTATGCGGGGGCCTGACGGTGTCAAAACTTTGAAGATTAATGGATTACTTTGTTAATGACTCAAGGCGTCAGATTGAGGTGCTTAAATGATTTGTGAGGTGCAAAGCGTTTTCCTGACAGTCCCAAACAATGAGAGAAGAGTGTGCGGGTGGATGCGAGGAAGGCAGCAGGCTGCAGGACAAGCAGCCACACACACAGAGACACACACACACAGGCACACACGCACACACACACACACACACTCGCAGCCTCTCACACAAACATATCCACGCACACGCACCTCCACCCCCACTCCCGATCATTTCAGATTAGGACGCCAAGGGGATAGATACTCGAGATATCATTTCCCTTTTTTTAAAAAAGTGTAAATAAAGCCTTTCTGGCCCCCAATGAGGCGTTCCTTCCCGACTTTTTTGGATCAATCAAACAGACAGTGGCTTCTTTTGATTAAAGCCCAAATTGTCATTGGGCAGAGGCAATCATGTGACAGCCAATTCGGTCCAATTTCAACCTTGTCTCCATGAATTCAATAGTTTAATAGTAGCACGGTCCCCATACGGCTGTAATCAGTGAATTAGAAAAAAAACACCCCACCAGCGATCTTCTATGCTATATTTTTTTTCTCCTCTCTCTCCTTTTTCCTGGGCCTTCCCCCTCCCCCGAGCCCCCTGAATCCGAGGGAACTTTTTCTCCGCGGGGGCTGCCAGTTGAAGGCCATGAATTTCGCATTTGAGCGAGAGATCGGTTTTATCAATAGCCAGCCATCGCTTGCTGAGTGCCTGACATCTTTTCCCCCTGTCGGTGATACATTTCAAAGTTCATCAATCAAGAACTCGACGCTTTCACACTCGACACTGATTCCTCCTCCTTTCGAGCAGACCATCCCCAGCCTGAACCCCGGCAGCCACCCTCGCCACAGCGGCGGCGGTCGCCCCAAGGCGAGCCCCCGCGGCCGCAGCGGCAGCCCGGGCCCCGCCGGAGCCCCGCCGCCCCCGGAGTACCCCTGGATGAAAGAGAAAAAGGCGTCCAAGCGATCCTCGCTGCCGCCCGCCTCGGCCTCCGCCTCAGCCGCTGGACCTGCCTGCCTCAGCCACAAAGGTCAGTCCAAAGACGTGCCGCCAGCCCCGCCGGGCCGCTATTTTGGCTCCCCGCATCCCCCCGGYTTCGCGGGGGGACGAGGCGGAGGACGGGCAGGCGGGAAGGACGGAGCTGGCGGGGCTCGATGGAAATCCAAACTTTCCCCAAACTTGCCTAATGCGGGATGATTTATTTGAGTTGGAGCTGACCTCTCTTGTCTCGCCGTCCTAGAGTTAGGATATTTGACAGTAATGAAGAGTGATAGATTGCTCCCGCTCAGCTAAGCAGCTGATGCATTAATTATAAATTGCGGTATGGCTAATATAAAGTTTGCTCTGGTGTGGGGAGGTTGGGGAGCTGGAGGCAGCGATTTGGCGGAGGTGGCCGAGGGGCACAGAGCACCGGGCGCTCAGCAGTGCAACACAATGGGTTTACTGCATCCAAAGGCGGCCATTTTGTTGCAGTTGCTATTTTATGCTATATGGACATATAGATATAGACACATACATGCMGAGAGAGCACTCCCCCCCACCCCCCCGGGATGCGATGTGCTGGGGTGCTGAAATTCAATCCGTGCATTTATCTGTTTTGTGTGCGCGTCCCCGTGTCTTTGCTTTCACTGTTCTGGCGGTGATGCTTTGGGGTGCGTGTGGTGGTGGTGTTTTTCTTTTTTTTTTTTTTTTTTTTTTTTTTAACAGACCCCCTTGAAATCCCCGATAGCGGTAGCGGTGGATCTAGGCGCCTGAGGACGGCTTACACCAACACCCAGCTTTTGGAGCTAGAGAAAGAATTTCATTTCAACAAGTATCTCTGTAGACCAAGGAGGGTTGAGATTGCAGCCTTGCTGGATCTGACTGAGAGACAAGTCAAAGTCTGGTTCCAGAACAGGAGGATGAAGCACAAGAGACAGACCCAGTGCAAGGAGAATCAAAACAGCGAGGGGAAATTTAAGAACCTAGAGGACCCCGAAAAAGCGGTGGAGGAGGAGGAAGAAGAGGAGGAGGAGGAGAAATCCCTCTTCGAGCAAGCCCTCAGCAACGTCTCCGGCGCTCTCCTGGAGCGGGAAGGCTAYGCTTTCCAGCAGAATGCCCTCTCCCAGCAGCAGGCTCAGAATGCGCACAATGGCGAATCCCAAACTTTCCCCGTTTCGCCTTTAACAAGCAATGAGAAAAATCTGAAACATTTTCAACATCAGTCACCCACTGTTCAAAACTGCCTCTCAACAATGGCCCAGAACTGTGCAGCTGGCCTGAACAATGACAGTCCTGAGGCCCTAGATGTCCCTTCTTTACAGGACTTTAACGTTTTCTCCACAGATTCCTGCCTACAGCTTTCAGATGCAGTTTCCCCCAGTTTGCCAGGATCTCTGGACAGTCCCGTAGATATTTCTGCTGACAGTTTTGACTTTTTTACAGACACACTCACCACAATTGACTTGCAGCATCTGAATTACTAAGAAATTAAAGACGTCCTCCCGAAGGGTCCTGCTTCCTCCTCCTTATTCTTCATTTTTTTTTCCCAGTGAATTAATTTTATTTYCCCCCTCCCTTTACCTCTTCAGTATTTTCGGTTTGTTACTTCCCTCTGATATGCCATTTTGCCGTTTCTTATGAAGTTTTAGTTGTGTTCAATTTTAACCTAGCCACATTCTAGGTCCTTCTATGAAAGCAATATATGAGGTCTGTAAGAAAGTGATCATATAGGAATGTATCTTCACTTTCTTTTTATTTTTGTATTACATTAGGATGCGTTGTCATAAGTATTTTTGGTAGAATAAATTCTTGTTTGCTACAAGGAGCTTTCTCTTTTTTCTTTCTCTATCTCCTCTCTGTCTCTCTAGTTTCAAGGTTGATAACATGACGGGTATCTCTCCCCATCCCTTTCACTATTAATTTACTAATAATCAAAAGCCAACGTTCTGACTACGAGCTCTCATCTTTTGGCAATTTAGGACACTAATTAGAGAGGAAAATCTCGTTCGTTTTCTTTATTGTAAGGATTCTCACATGGGAAGAAAAAACAAACTAAACAAATTAAAACCGTGTACAGGTTTGATGGAGATTTGTTYCTTTTAATGTATAAATGTAGCATCTTATCTCTGTGAGGATACAAAGCTTGGAAATGCTGAGCTATAACAAAAGCAGGAACGAGGACTTTCTCGGTTACAGGCAAAACGTAAGCGAGACTCAGTAGGATAAGCATCTCCTGCAGAAACCAGCCTGTTACATGAACGAAACCCCCTTTTTTTTTTTTTAATAATCCTGTTTTTCTAGAAAGTAGTGCTTAGCAGCCAGCAAGATTTTTCAGAAAACATATCTTAAAAAACCGTCAGAGCTCACAGAGAATGTGCTTGGTTACTTCTCACGTGCTAAATAATCCAAGAAATCAGACCTAGGAGGAGAGGAAATGTAGAAGTTAGTGCCTGTGAAATCAAAAGGGTGGCAGAAAAGCAGGGGAAGAAAAAGTATTTAGGGAGGAACCAGTCTCTCCACTCCATCCTTCTCGGGGGCGGTGCGGGGGCAGACCCGAAGACATTTTTCTGTGTAAACCTTCTTGCGAGGAGAAAGACTGATAACGAAAAGGGGAAGCTCTGACTTTAAAGGTACGATTTCCTCGGGCTCCCCACTCTTCTGCTGGACGCAGCAAAGACGGGCTTGCAGAAATCTCCACCAAACTGGCTGCCAGCGGGCGTTGCCGGACCCCAAAGCGGAGGGTGAGCCCCGTCCTTCGGGCTAGAACCGAGCAACAGATGCCAGCCGGCTCTGTCGCTCCGGGGCCGGGGGATCCCGGGCGGGCTCGTTCGCGGCTCGGTGCGTGCGTGTGAGTGCGTGTGAGTGTGGTTACATTACACAAGAGAGTGGGGCTTGGGTGGGGGTTTGGGAACGGGGCTCTGCTGTCCGTCCATGCGAGGAGTGTTTTCTCCCAGCCCTGTAACACGCTGTGGAGCTGGGATGCGTGGGTTATAGCTGGAAGGGCTGAACGCAATTCTTCCGAAAGTCATAAATCAAACTCTTTCTATGAATGAGAATGTCATCAAAGAGATCAATTGCAGGAACACATGCACAAATAAAAATCCTCTTACGTATTTGCCGGGGCTGGGGATCCCCGTCTAAAACCATTAAGTGAGAAGGCGTTTAGCCATAATTCACTTTTATTGCTCTTTTAAAACAACAGCTTGGCTGAGCTGCGGGCGCGGTGAAACCTCGGCCTTGGTTCTCCTCCTCCTCTCTGCTCCAGCCATGTCCCTGCGGAAAGCGAGCAGCCTCACCGGCATTTTCACTCCTCTGCCACTGGGTTAAATTGGACSGCAACGTGCATGTTAGGGTTGGGGTTTCTTTTGTGCCAAGATTTCCGGACGCTGACAACGCTTAAAGAAAACCAAAGCAAAACGAACTAACCCTCC